TGTTCACTAGTTATTAATGTTGATTTGGGAGCATTTCTTATTTCCAGAAGTGGCATTAGGCAATATTCAATTGTCAACTTTGGAACACATAGTAAGCCGGACAGAAAAAGGAGGGCCTTTCCTTTATAGCTTTCTGTTTGTGATCCTTGACATAAAGGCCAGAAACATGCTGGTATGTGTGTGGCTGAAAAAACAGTTCATTTGACAACTTGAGCAGTGAGTTTCTTGCCTATGAACATGGAGACTGTGTTCCAGGTGACAGGAAAGCTCCGGGGAAAGGGGAGTAGAGTGGGAGAATCTGAGCTCTCCGACTAGCTCATGGTCCTTTCTGAATGTCTACCTACTTTGGATGTATTTGTTCACACATACGCTGTGTGTTGCCGTTGGGAAGATAACACATGGCATGGAGGGGAGTGGTGGAGCTCAGTGGAAATGAGAAGGCCCTGAGGCTGCATATTGAGATGTGGGTGAGGGTCCGGGAGCCAGGCTGACAACTGTGGCAGAGGAGGACCAGCTCCACTCTTAGGCCTGGACAGACTGGTCAGGAGTCCGAGCATGCCCAAAGCCGTACAGAACCCGAGATCCACCCCTCCTCTCTCTGGTAGACACACTCACACTCGCACCCTCCTCTTCACAGTGGCCCTCCTGTGCAGTTTGGAGTGCCAGAGACTTGGCATTCTTTCCTGTGACCGTTGTTCTCGAAATAGGCGACGAGTCAGCCCCTTTGGTCTGTCTGTCAGTACCCAGGGGATGAAATTCTCCCCTTCTCTTCCATTAGCTCTCTCCACCAAGCTCTTTCCACCTGCTTCCCAGGAAGCTAAAAACCTCATTGGGATGAGCTAGACAAGATGAGCCAGTGACATCTCCAAGTGCAGCACCTAAGGAAACTGTGAAAAACACCTTGATGCTGGTCCCCTGCAATAGACAGTGGTCATGGATGGACATTGAAAACAAGCAGATTTTTAGATGCTGATTCTTTCTCGATTGAATAAAGATTGAAAAAAAATGTACTTTGAAGGGGGATCCAGTTTTCTAGTCTGTCTCAGGTGTCTATGTGTTTGCGACACTACTTACTGGGTCCTCCTCTGGGACCAAAAGCTGACTTCTTTCATCTCCTTGGATTCAGAATCTTTTGCTTTAGGACAGCAGCTCCAAGGAGGAATATCCAAGCATTTCCCTCCATGAAATCCTAGCTGTTTAAAGAAGTCCAAAGAGACCTTAGTCCTTCCCCCAGAAAGTTACCCATGGCTCCAGGCCAAATACTGGGCTCCTGTCTCTGAGGTGGTTTGGAGCTTCTGTGGAATCTGCTGTGAGCAGCTGTGGTTCCCGACTGTCTTCCTGCAGTTCACCATACTGGGACTCCCTCCTTATTTGGTGTGGTTCCCTGGAGCTGCAGAGTAACCTAGACTAGAATTTCAGCACTTGCTGGGGGTCTGCCCATTTCCCTTTCTTAACATGCAAAGTGTTAGAACTTTCACGCCGTATAACGTCTATACTGACAAATGTGCCACTATAGTGCAGGGTGTCTCCACCTCAGCACTATTGGCATTTGGGGTTGGATAATTGTTGTGGAGCTGTCCTATGTGTTATAGGATGTTCAGCCCATCCTTGACGTCTGCCCACTGGATGCCAGTAGCACCACCACTCCAGTTGTGACAACCAGTAATCTTATAACCCTGGGGGAGGGGGAGCAAAATGGGCCTGGTTGAGAACCTGGTAGCAGAACAACATCAGCTGGACTCCCTGGATCCCCAAGCCATCCTCATCACATCTCAAGACAGTGTACTAGGGTCCTAGTGTTGTTTATTCAGTTTTCTTATTTAACTTGGCTCCATTCTGCCTCTCAAACCTGTTTGCTCACATAGCACTAACTTTTATCTATTACAGCTGCCTTTCCTTCTGGAAAGAGTTTATAATTCTTAAGCAAATTAACACACTATTCTTATCAAGTAATGATGGAATCCTATTATTGCATGTAGGTGTGTCCCCCCTCATTAGAGAAAGGGGATGGATGGGTGGTGATCATGTTTCTATTCCCATAGGTCTAACATATGGTCTTATGCTAAGGAGGTGCTAAGTACAGTAGCACCTAAAGTCTTTTTCCTTTTTAGTATTTAAAGTGATCAGTGATATTTGTTGGATTAAATAAGATGCTGATCTGTACATTTCAGTGTCAGTGGCTTTGGGTTCTAATCTTTTAACCTTTTTCTCTTCCATTTTTAGTTTCTTTTTGCACAGTACATGCCTGAATGGCTCTGGGTGTGGGGAGCAAATATTCTCAATCGTTCTTTACGTAAGGAGGCCTTATCCTGCAAACCCTGAAACTGGATGATGGTTTGGGACGCTTTGCCAAGTCATGGGAACCTACAGTATTCTGACATTTGGAAGAACACATTTAATTTATCTTCTGTATTTTCTTTTATTACTGATGACTTAGCATATTGTTGGCTCATCATTTGCAAAGCAAACATAATACTTGTAGAGAATGTTGTGGAAAAACTCAAGGGCCAAATGGATGGCACAGAGTAAATAATGACTGAGGCACAAGAACTGATTGAGGAAACTTCAATTTCAATGCTTTTTCCCCCTAAATTGTTCAAAAGTTGTGTGGTTTATGTTGTTCTAGGAGCTACAGCAATCTGGTACTGAAATATAACATGACTTGTGACCTCTTAAAATTTCAGATGGTTTTTTTAAGGGAAATTATGTCAGTAGGTGAATTATAGTATTGGTTTTCAAATGTTCATCAGGAAAGACTATTTAAAAGTGTTATTTTATAAGATGGCTGGTATGATTAACAGTAGAAATCTGTGTGTGTTAATACTGTGTAGCTCTAGTTGTCTGTCTGTATATGAAAATGCTGCTTTTCAACTGATATTTCATTAGAGAACCATATGTTTATGGATGTGTGTATCTGGGTAACTTTATGGGTAAGTTACTAAAAATTTTTTTTTTGTTAAGCTGGTTTAATGTGGAACCTTACAGGGTATTAAAGTTCTAGATTATTTCGTTTTATACTAAACAATCTTACCCAATTTTGTGCTATTGGCTTGCCAAGTATAATATTACTTACACCATCTGTTTTTTTAACCTACCATGGAATTAATTCATTCCTAGATTTGGACGTGTAATGACTGACTGTCAGTAATCTGTTGATTTATAATTATTGTGGATAAGTAGTGATTTCTTAGCCTATGACCCATTTTATAACTAAAATTTAGCCCTATAGAGCTTGTTACATCTGGTTTTCATACACTTTTCTATGTAATATTATTTAATTCCAGTAGCATTATTGGTGTAAACATCAAGTATTTATGAAATTAGTAGTTAAAATATGGACAAATGTGTGTGATATGTATTGTATCTGTTGAAATAAGTTAGAAGCTCATTCTTGGTTCCTGTAATTACTTTATGCATTATAGTGAATAGTTTTTTTGGTGTGAAGATAATTATGCATAGCCCCCCACAATATGGGTTAGCATTGAAAGCTACTGTGAAATGTTTTTGGTTCAGGTCCTATAAAGCCAAACATTTTGAGGACCACATACATAGTGCTTGACAGTTGTAAATCACTGTATGGATATGACAGTGTGTGCAAAGTAAAAATTTGGAGTTTAATATTGGGACACTGATGCAGAAGCTAGTACATTTTTGAGATCAGGACTTTTATGGAATTGTTTTCTCCTGAGATGATGTTCCATTATGAGTAGGTCTAAGCATGCTTTCATGTTATACTCACAGTTTTGCCAGTGACATTGCTTCAGTATTTTCAGATGTGACTTGGACTCAGTTCAGAAGCTCTTCCACTTATAGATCATGCCTTCATCACATAAGAGGAAGACATTCAGATGTGAAAACATACACACTAATGGCACTACATAACACTGAAGGTATTGATGGAGTTAGTTTAGAGCCTTTATTTGGTTACATTTGACATTTTCCCTCACCCAACAATTATGGTCATTAAGACTAGAAAAAATTTGATGTCCTGCCACATTGACCTGAACTTAAACATGTAATTAGCAGCAGCAATGTAATGTAAAAAGTACCATATTTATACCTGTGTTATGTGGTACAGCAACGTCTTATATTTATAGATTAGGTATTGAATCATTGTTACATGATGAGACTAAATAAACCATGTCAGTGATGTTTTAAAAATTCTTTACTTGGCAGGATGTATGTAAATAAGCTTATTGGTGCAAAGTTAGTGAAAGATCAAAACCAAGAATCTTCCTTAGGTTTTATGTTTCATAAAATACTTTTTCCCAGAGCTCATTTTAGAGTAATAATTGGACCACTGTAGATGGGTTTCTTTTTTCTTCTTCTTTTTTTAAAAAAATACTTTTATTTCTTTCAGAGAGGAAGGGAGAGGGAGAGAGAGATAAAAACATCAATGATGAGAGAGAATCATTGATCAGCTGCCTCCTGCACCCCACACTGGGGATTGAGCCCACAACCCAGGCATGTGTTCCGACCAGGAATTGAATCATGACCTCCTGATTCCTAGGTCAGCACTCTACCACTGAGCCATACTGGCCGGACCTAGATGGATTTTCTTACTAAGAATGAGGGAAATAACCTTTGAAACAATCTGTGAACTGAAAATTTAACAATGAAAGTGGCTGCTTCTTCCTTTGGAAGAGGTTTTGCTCCATATATTTGTGAATGGATTGTCTGGAATGAGGGATACATTTTTTCCCCATAGAAACAATTACTTAAAAATTGTAAAAACTTAATTTATGAACTTAATTTATGGATGCAATTCAATAAGAGCAGGTAATTAGGCAAGGAAATTGTACATATGCATGTCTTTTGAAAATATTAGGTTGGTTTCTTCATCTCATTCTTCTAATAAGGTAAGATGAAGGTTGGTTTTAATCATTGACTTTGGCAACATGGAGATCGATTGGTGGGGATGAAAGGGAGATTGTAGTGAGTTCAAGAAAGAGTGGGAAGGACAGGAAGACAGCAAGGAGAGAGACAGCTCTACTGAGGAGTGTTTTGTTTTAACCTCAAGTTACTCAAAATCTTGTCACATTTGGGAACCAGTGGGTTTAGGTGGTGTCCTCTGTCTTTGACATTGCGTGCCCTCCGAAACAAAGACCAGTCTCACCGTGTGTCTGTCTCAGTATTGGCTAAGCTGTTATTCTTTAAAATAACATTTAGTTTAAATAAAGATTTACCTTCCACGGAATTTCGAGTGCTTTATTACACACATGAAGCATGGGTTTAGGACGTTAGAACCTGGAGTGGTGGAAAACCGGGAGACCAGGATGCTGTGGCTCTCCGCCTTTCTTGGTGGATTTCTCAGCCATCTGTCTCATGTCCGAGTCCCCTTCAGTTTACAGGGTTCCAAGGAGCTGGCAGCATTCTTCACTTCCCTGTTTTTGGGCTTCACTGTCACATGACAAGGATGTTTGCAATGCACTAGCCTACCTTAGCCCCTGACACTTGGGCTATGCATTCAATGGTACAGTGACTTAAAGGGCCCTTAAAAGAACCCTGGCCAAAATCAATTTACCCCAAATTAGAACAGTTAAGTTTAAGATCAAGTGCATTAATCATGGCAGCAGGGAGTTCTGCTTAACTTTGAGCATCTCAAAACTGGGGAATGAGGGGGGGGGGGGGGGGACTGTTTCACCAGGTGTGGATTGGTCTAGATGTAACCACCACTGTTTACTGGACATATCATGACTCCAGCTTTGTATGTTTTATTTAACCCTCCTATGAGGTAGGTATTAATATCATTGGGGGTGGGTGTAGGAAGGTGAGGTATAAAGAACAAGTACAACTTGCCCAAGATCACAAAACTAGCAGGTGATTCTGTATCCCCTATATTAAACCAGTTGGATTGGTCTAGATGTAACCACCACTGTTTACTGGACATATCATGACTCCAGCTTTGTATGTTTTATTTAACCCTCCTATGAGGTAGGTATTAATATCATTGGGGGTGGGTGTAGGAAGGTGAGGTATAAAGAACAAGTACAACTTGCCCAAGATCACAAAACTAGCAGGTGATTCTGTATCCCCTATATTAAACCAGTTTGTTAAAGGGAAGATGAAGTGCTGTGACATTTCTGGTCATATTGGTCCTATGCAGCATTAGCATGCTTTGGTGGAAAGTTCAAGCAAGACATAAGCAGTTTATCTGACTACATAGCACATAATTTTTCATTGGCATTACCAAAGTATGTTTTCCGTTCCCCAATTGTGCCCAAGCCAAGTGTGGGCCACTTCAGCATTTCTACAGAAAACAGCCTGTGATCCCCAGTATTGAAATCACCCACGCATTTTGTGGGGGGAGGCAAACTTTTGATACTTGTTTCTTTGAAGGGGGGTAACACTTGGTATTATCGGTCCAGGCAGGGCGGAAAGGAGCCAGGAGTGGAGCAGACAAGATTTGGGGCAGGGGTTTCGCCTGTCAGGGTGAGAGGGAGACAGGTAACTGACTCACGGGTGACTGCTCCGCCCGCTGCCATGTCGGTGAACGGGTGGGGGTTTGCAGAGTTGGTGCCGCCGGGGCCTCGCTCTGGACCCGAACACCTATAGGCCCCAGGAGGAGAGCGCTGGATACAGCTTCAGGCGTTTATAGCAAATGCTGGCTACGGGGCCCGATCCGTCAGGTTGGTTGTCCGCAGGACAAGGGCCAGCGTGGCTGCTTTCGTGCCTGTGCCTGTTCCCTAAGGTCCCAAAGCCCAGCGCATCCAAGGACAGGTGCCGCTACTAGCGCAGAGCAAGACCTACGGCCTGCAGCCCCGCCCCTTCCCCAGGGCCGCAAACGTCGCGAGACTGTCGTTCGTCTTCCGGCCCAGACCCTGCGGCCCTCGGCGTCTGGAGTGCGCACGCAGGCCTCACGCAGGGTACGCACAGCCGGCGGGGCTGGTGTTTTCAGCCGTCGGTCTCCCCGTCCCATGGCGTATTCTCGCGAGAGTTGGGAGTAAACAGCCCCGAATGGAGACTCGAGGTGTGTGCGCCGCGGAGGAGCCGTCATCCTGGGCCCTCCGGACCCGAGTGTGAGGCAGCAGCAGGTACGTCAGGAGGCCCGCTCCCCGAGTCACCGCATCTCCCGATCTGCGCGGCTGTCGGCGCGTGCTGAGGTGCTCTTCGCGCCCGAGGCCCCGAGGATGGGGGTCTG